AAAATGGAAATGGTCATCACTAACTTTATCAGGGGCTATGTGGTACGGGATCATAACGAGATTCTCAGAGGGAGAGCGTCAGGCATTGCAGGCCTCGGGCTTATCTTTTCGGCTTTTAAATAACAACCTTAGTGATTGTTTCAAGGTTGAAGGTTTGGCTTGTAGCGGCGGGAAATACCTACCGCTTTGGGATTTCCTTGCGTGGCAAAGGTTCAAAGCCCGAAGCCCCTTCGAAAAGGTGAGTTTGAGCACTGAAGCCTAAAGACGCTGGTGTCAGAACCTGACACACCTCCTCGTAGGCTGACGCTTTGTTCCGATCCTAGTCCCTGAGCCCTAAAATTCCTAGGTCCTAGGTCGATCCTTCAGGTAATTTCTCTGCGGCCCACCTGGCGCGGCTTGCCGCAACCGGGCGGGAGCTGCCAGAGGTTCTGGGACTGCATAAAGATCCAGTTACTGGGGTACATGTTGAGGGTGTTTACTTAAGACTGTGGTACAACTGTGGTGGCTTTTAGGGCCCTTCGAGCCAAGAACCTCAAACTCTGATGTCGAGGGTTCGAGCAGCCTATTGTTCCACACTTCTACGGGGGCACGCACAAGAGAACAAGTTGCCTGCTTCAAGGTTCGCATAAGGGGAGCTACTCACTGTGCAGGATTGGGATTGCATTCTCAACACAATCACGAAGGCCCCCTCCTTTTTTTCGTGCTGTGTGCAGCTGCGGCAGATGCCTTGGGCCTCAGTTCTTCCGAGCTGACAGATGGCTTAACCAGTTGCCCAGAGCACGACTTGTGACTAGGGAAAATGGGCCGCGCCCATGGTGCCCACACCCGGTCTGTGGGAAGGCGACTGCGCACGCATTTTCTGCTTACGCTTACAGCCTTGGTTTGCACTACATGCCTCTCGACACAGTGTGCCGCGGCGCCTAGGAGTGGAATCATGGTGGTCACTGGTGCCAGCAAAGGTTTGGGCGCCGAAGTGTCAAAGCACTTCGCGCAGTCTGGTTGGAGAGTTGCAGCTTTGGCCAGAGATCGAAAGGCACTCGACAGAGTGGTATCCGATGTTACTGCTCCTGACCGGCTCTTGCCCATAAAGTGCGACATTAGCGATTCAGTTTCTGTTGGTTTTGCCATTGCTTCAGCCTGCGAGCATTTCGGCGGCACGCCCACTGCCTTGATCAACAATGCAGCCGTCTATGCCAAGAAGCCGTTCCATGAGATGGATTTTGATGCCATCAACTCTTTGGTTGACACCAATCTCAAAGGAGCAATGTATGTGACCCGAGCCGTGCTGCCCGGAATGCTGGAAGTTGGCCGCGGGCGGATTATTTTTGTCAACTCGGTGGCTGGGCTGCCAACCTGGACCATCCCAGGCGAGTCTCTTTATTGTGCCACAAAGCATGGCCTAAGCGGCTTCGCAGATTCTTTAGCCCATGAGCTGAAGGGCTCAGGTGTGCAAGTGACAAGCATTCATCCTGGTGGGATTGACACGCCGCTTCAAGTTGCAGCTGGCACTCCTGAGGACGTGCGTCAAAGGTTTCTCAAGTCTGCAGACGTGGTCTCATGCATACAGCACGTGCTGGAATCGGACCCCCAGGTGATGTACAAAAGGATCGAAGTGTTTGGCAGCTCGTTTTGGCACTGATCAGCTCTTGGACGGCTCGTCATTGCCGCTGCAAGACCTGCCAGGCGGCTGCATTGACCCAGCAAGAGGAAGGGGCAACTGTTTTCCCTTCCTGCGCAGAGAGGGAGCATGTTTGCGTCGACGTGACACACGTAGCATGTTCTTTGCGTTTCGGCCGTTGGGAAAGAAGTGCGTGGATGACCGAGCCGATCTCATATCGCAACCCACTTAATGTGTAAGGACCAATCTTTAACCCCCGATGTCCAGCAACCTCCACCCTGACCCCTCCCATGCGAGGTAGCCTTGAACCGCCCAAGGTGCTACAGGTGGAGCTACACTTGGTCCAGCAGCAACAAGAGCTCACAGCCTACTGCGCGGGCAACGGCATCGCTGTCATGGTGGGATGGCCTCAAACTGCAGGGATCGCGTTGCTACCAGAGTATGCTTGGAGGTCTAGCACCGTGAAGCCTGGGCTGCCAGACCCCCATTACATCTTCTACGTCCCAGAACTTCCAAAACTGAAGCCTCCAAGACTCCGAACCTTCAACCCCAAACCTTTGCAGAGCTGCCGTAGAGAGACCACGAAGAGCCGAAGCGAAGGAGGGCCGAAAATCCCAACAAAAGAGGGCCCTCAGCCTGAAGACAGGCCGCCTCTCCCCTTGCACGTGGCCAGCTGCTCGGCAAATTAGAAGAGGGCCTCAAGAAGGCGTGTTTTTTCTTTTCGGCCTGCCTGGAGTTAAGAGCATTAGAAGGGGTTTTCGGGGTTTCGGTGCTTTACGGCTGCAGGGCTTCAGGGTTTTCCCGGTTTCCGGGCTTGGCTCGAGGACATCGCCGTCTTGAAGCTTCAGGGCTTAAGTCTCTGGGGGTGTTCGGGTTTAGGGGCTTTGGGGTCATAGGTCATAGGGCGTTTTGCAGGATTTTCGTGGCTTATTCGTCTTATCAAGTTTTTTTATCACCTGAAAGAACCCTTGAGCAAAAAGGGGTTATATGCTTCACGTCACGGGGGTTCCGGAAGCTGGCTGGGACTTCGTAATGTCGGGTTCGCAAGACTAGCACGGAAAAGAGAGACAGACAAGTTCCGCACATCTTCCGTGGGGGTTCAGAGCATGGGGTCCAACGAATGGTGGTTGCGTGGATGAGTTAATGCTTACGGCTCAGCTTTCGTGGCTTGCGGGCGTGGTTTAGTTGGTGCAGAGCCTTCCTACAAACGCCATTTCCCGACTCGTCATGGGCCCTTAATTTGCCTTGGGGTTCGCAATGGCTGTTTTCTTCGGGGAGACGGGCTTCGGCATGCAAAGCTAGATAAGGCCTGAGCAAATTGAGGGATGCAGGGCTGGGTTCCAGTCTTGATCTTTCAACGCTGCTGGTATATAGAAGGAGCGACATAAATCCTCAAGATTTTCTGGCCCATTGAAAGAATGCAACACAACTCGAAGATAGACTCCAGAGAGTTTGTCTAGCCCGGATTAACTAAGTTGAGTTTGGCCCAGCTGGAGGCTTTGCCGCCCCTCCCATGGCAGCTTTCCAGATGCATGGCGAAGCCTAGCAGGCTTGTGCACCAACAGAGTTCAACGACACTAGCATGGAACCTGAAACGGGCCCAGGCCGGACTACTGTCCTTCGAAGGTGCTCTTGGGAGTTTAGGTTACCTTCGAGCAACCGCAGGGACCTCGAGAAGATTTGGGGTCCAGACCAGACCCGACCACGAACAGCTCCACAGCTAGACGAGTTCTGGTCCCATTCTTCGTCTATGATAGGGCGTATGTGGCCAATGCTAATGGAAAGGTTGGAGAATTGTCACGCAACTGCAAGTACGGGAGCAAGAGAAACCGCAGAAAGGCATGCGGTGGAATGAGGACGCGTGTAGAGAGAGAGAGAGAGAGAGTTCAAAGCAAACTCGGAACCACAAAGTCGAAAGGCTTGCAAATGTCCACGACTGACTCCACAAGGCTAGTACCGAAAGAAGGTTTCCCGGACCCTGCCATGCAACACTGTGCGGAGAGCTGCTTCCGAGCATGGTCGGAGACCAAACCCACGCAGCTGCAAACAAAGGCTTGAACGATTCTCTCATGCCTGCAGGTACAACGAGACGTGCTGATATGCTTTCCTTCAGAACACGGCAACAAGGATGCTTCACGTTTCCTGGACATTGCACAAGCCAAGCTGCAGAGAACTGCCGTTGTCATACTGTTCACAGAATTTCTATCTTGGAAGTGTACAACTCTAGGTCTATGGAACGTACGACGTTTTGTCAAGCAACCTGAACCCGAAAGCCTTCAACCCTCAGAAACCTGCTCTTAGTGTTAGCCAGGCATGGCAGCCAAGAAAGGCCGGAGCCAGGCGGAGATCGCGGTGCGCTGGTGCCTTCAGAGAGGCTTTCTGAACAGTTTGACGACAGACTTGGGTGTGCTATAGTGGAAAAATCCCCTTGCAGTCCGTACTTTACTGTGCTGTAGCATCCCAAAACCTTAAACTAATTACAAGGGCCCCTGAATCGTGAGATAAGGATCTGTCACTTTGGGGCACGGTCTATCGTAGCATACCTGTTTGTCCGAGGATATTGGTTTAGGGCTTTAGTACAGGGTTTAGGGTTTCGGGTCTTACCAGTCAGGCCTCTTGGGTTTGCGGAGTTAAGTTAAGAATCTTGGAACAGCCGTTCAAGAATGTTGGGCTTACGATTCAAGATGCAGGGATTTGTTGGGGATGTTCTTCAGGTCCCTTCACTCAGGACCCGTTACATAAAGAGTGCTCTGCTTTCTGAAGCAGGCTCTGGATGGTTCAGGGCGTAGGATTTAAGTTCCGGAATTATGATGTCTTAAGACAGCCTTGACAAAGCCCCCGGCGCTTCAACCTCAAACATGGAGGAACACGGGGAGGGGTGGGGATATTCCTCACCCTGAAAGCCTGAAATTTTGAGTTTTGAAACACGACACTCAAGCAGAAATTAACTGTCAGCGCTTCGCTGCTGAGGCATTCACAGGCAATTGTGCTTCAGCCACGGGAAACCAGGTTGAGATATCTTATGCTAGCGGCAGAGCAGAATCCCAGAATCCTACGACACTTGCACCGACAAGAAGTGATTCCGAAACTCTGGGGTGGTCTGTGGAATAGATGTAGAGTAGGAGCAAAAGCAAGCAAGGTTGCAAAATCTATTTGCAGGCCTGCAAGCGGTCGTTCCGGACCCCACTGCAGCGGAAACCCCTCGCAGCAGGCAACAACACTGCGAAGAAATGGCCTTCCCATTTCAGATGTCCTTGCTTTACGGTCGGCATCTCCACCACGTGAAGGTTGCCCAATTCGAGGTCTGCTCGACGATTCGCGACACGGTCCCTGCAGTCGAGAAGTTCTTGCTTACAATGGGCCCGGCAACGCATGTTTTCGGGGCGTTGCCGCGGAAAGTCCACCCCGGCCGCCTGTTTTCCCTTCGCAGCTGCGAGATTCGAGCATGCAGGTGACGCGCACGTCGTCTTTGCGCAAGATTATAGTGTCGACACGCGCCCTGTTCCGCAAAGGTTTGGGGCTTAAGCCCTCGAGACCCCCAACACCCCGCAACCCTAAGCCCATAAACCACAACTCCCTGATACCCGACGTGAGGCCGCAGACCTCTGGACTGCAAGCTTCAATTTGAATCCCCACAAGTTGCCATGAACTCCTCAAGACCTCCACCACGGGCCCGATTTTGAGTTCCCGTTCTTTGGAGGCTACATCGCTGTGCCGAAGAGCAAGTCCCAGGGCCATGTGGAGGCCAACGCGGCCTTCGGCTTCGAACTGACCTCTGCGGACGCTGGGACCGACCTTCGCGAGGGCTTTGTTGGGGCTTCAGGCGTTGAGGGTGTTGCGAGCCGTCGTGTGTCAGCTTAAGTTCCGGGGCCTGATTGGGGATATGCTGACTTCTGGCTTGAGGTTTCCCGATGCGTCTAGGTCCGAGACTAGGTGTTGCCAGATTGACAACATATGCAACATTGCGAGTCAGCTCGCCGCAATTTTGGATAATTTTCTTCCTACTTGAGTACAGCGAGAGTTTTTGAGTCTTCCCTAACAATGCCAAGGCTCGTTTTGAATGATTTCGGTGTTGCTGGGGCCGATTTTCGAGGAAGGTGTTCAGGAATATAGCGGTTTTCAATATTACATGGTCCTTCTTGCGGGTCTTTACCACCTGGCTCCCAGGCTTAAAGGTTTGTACCAGTGTAGAGCTCAAATTCAAGATGTGCAACTGGAAGGTCGTCGGGAGTCGGGCGGGTCCTCCCACAACCGCACATGGAACCTGAAACGGGTTCCAGAGCCTACTGTGAAGGGAAGCTAGGGCAGCTAGGGTCAGGGCTTGCGAGGGTTGAGAGGGTTTGGTGTTGGGGCGGAAGGATTGGAGATGAAGGCTCGAGACCCAGTTGCACAAGACTCCCTTTAGAGGCTGTGCTTGTCTTTACGCCCTAAAGGCCTTGAAGAGAGGTTGTAGCAACGAAAATTTGGGATTCAGGATTGAACATGCCTTCGTGTGAAGCTCGTGGGGTTCAGAGAAGAAGAGCACGGAGACCCTGATCAAACTTTTGAGAGAGATCTCCCTCTTTGAATCCTGACACCCCGCATTCTCTGGCCGGAAACCCTGCAGCTTTATACCCCAAACAACACCCCACAGCCAAGATATATCAACCGCCGTGTTCCATAAAAGCCTGGAAGCCCAGAGGCCTGGTGGCCAAAACTTCCACGGTAGTTCAAGAGCTGGGCAAAGTTGGCCGTTGAGAGCCGCAGAGCAGAGAGAACATACACGTTTGATCGAAAAACGGAGGAGAATCTGAACCGCGAAAACTGTAGGAGATGACCGCGCTTCGGGGCGTGGATTGCCACTGCTCCGTGAGCTCGTCAGCAAAATGCCTGGACTGTCTTGCAGCTTCCTGGGCTTGATAGGTTTCCGACTTAGGATGGTGCAGAACATGTAAACATTCGCGTTCAAGGTCGAAAGATTTATGGAGGAATTAGGTTTCAGTCTTTACGGCTCGGCGGTTGAGGGAAGCGGTGCATCAGGAATCATGAGGTTCAGAAATTAGAGCAAGTCCGGACCTGGCAATCTGCCTTCCTACCGAGTCCAGCTGAAGTGCAACACCTGAAATGTGTATTTGATTTGAATCGTTGGGAAGTGCGTCGTGTGGCCGCAAGACATGGGATGTGGCTCAGCTGGTAGGCTTGAGAAAGGGCAGACTTCCATCGAAACGGGGCAGGCTTCAGGATCTTCACTACCACATGGTATCCCAGGTTTTACTATAGCAGCACGTCTCCTGCAATATTGATTGTAAACCACCAATGAGTACTCCGTCAACAGGAGCTCTCCTGGGAGCAGGCTGTCGCAGAGCACTCGGAGGCAGCGGGTTGTGAGACTACCTTAGGCACTCTGAAGGTGGAAATATGCAACAGTAGGAGATGCACCGACTCCAAGGTTCTTTCAGGGGTTTTGGGGCATTTCAAGGAGTGCCCCTGATTTCCGTTCTTGCGAAAAATGGCTACGTCGATGGGTTGCGGTTGTTCATATTCCGATTCCGGACCTCGAACAGACTGATGTCTTGTGTGGTTGCAAAACGGCCCTTTCCCAGCCGCACTCTTGGGCTCACGTCGCAGCAGGTGAGCGAAGGCGATGTCGGAGAGGAAAGACCCCGACGTCGGCGGCGGCGCCGGCGCAAAGGGAAGGGGCTCCTTAGGCTGCAGTCATGGCATCGGGTTGCAGGTCCGGGGGGGCACCTTCGTCTCAATGAGATGCCGGACGGAATGTTTCATGTCCTCGGGCATAGGCGCCGTGTGGGTGAGGCATAGAACCTCGAGCTGTAGCACTGAGGAAAGGAAAGAGCGGCAAAGAAGGCAAGGGCAAGGGAGGACCTGGACCCCCGGCCGGCACGGCAGCGCAGCGGACGGCGAACACTCTTTTCGGCTTGAGCTGAGACAAACTGCACGACCTGAAAGGGGGGGCTTTCAGCGAGGGCTCGAGGATGTACGGTACACACTGCATGGTTTGGGGTGCAACTGTCGGGGTGGTCCAGTCGGATGAGGCCCGTCAAGACGCCACTGTTGCTAGCAAAAGTCCGATGCCATTAAGCAAAAATCCTTGAACCAAGCGGTCACCGGTTGTGTGTTTTTGAAGTGTCATGCTGCACATTTTCGAAACCCGAACTATGGGCCCTTATTCTTGCCGCAGAGGCACCCCATGGCATCGCCATTACAGTATTGTCGACGTGTGTTCTGTTGGAACACACTCCCCACAGTCCGTGACAGCCACTTCCAAAGCTTGAGTTTTGGGGCTGCAGATTTGCGCTACATGATTAAGGCTTGACCGGTTTTGGTTCGAGCCGTTTGGGCGAAGGACCGTGGAGGTTCATGGGCTGGGTTCCAAGTTTGAGGAATTGGGAAGAAGCCTTGACTAAGAGGCATGCGAAGCTCAAGCACGAAGCCCTTGCCTTACCATAACATTCGATTGTGTCCTATTATGTACGCCCTGCAAGGCAAGCATGTGAGGGTTGGAGCTCTTGACAACATCAGGCAGCTGACCACTTTCATGGACTCATAGCTTGGATTCAACAGTTGCGGCCTGGAGACTTTGGCTCCAGCCATACAGAGCTGAACCCCTCCTGCGCAGCACTAGCCCTTGCAAGCCTTTGAGTTGCTGTACGAGCAACTGACATTACAGAAAGTCCAACGGCGTCTAGCTTCCAGCACTTGACAAACTCTTAAAAGACAACGCAAACCCCAGACAGCCTTGAAACTGGGACCCGTCAACCCAACATGCCCTTGACTTCTAAGTCAACAGCAACGTCTCGAAACTCCAGAGGCCGTAAACGGCAAGACTTACGATCGGGAAACCTTGATAGCTCGAAACCTTTATTAAAGCCCCCAGACCCATTCAAAAAGCGAGGCGACGCTAATCACCTGCCCCAGCGTAATTTGAATCCTGTGAGAACTGAGACCGATAATGCTCGATTTTTCTGCACACTCTCAAAAGCAGAAGAATCTCGCAAGCTTGAAGCCACCTCTATTCCCGGGGCTTGCGCACTCCGAGCTCCAGCAATGATGGGTGCCAGGCACCAGACTAGGTTCAGGATTTGCTGATGTTTTGGGGTTCAGTGTCACACGAGGCAGGATTGGGATCAATATTCTGTTGCGGGGTGTTTTTTCAACTGTCGCTCTTTATGGTGCACTGAAAGCTCCGGCATTGTGTTTGCGATAAGGTCAGCGGTACTAGGGGCGAGAGTACAGTCGACGAGCGGTTCCCATGCGCCACCCGAAACCCTCCAATTGTTCCGTACACCAAGCAGGTACTGTGTAGCTGTCGGTGAGGTCAGATCCCAATGCAAAGACGGGCTGAGCAATGCATTCGAGGTTGAAGATTCCGTGATCCGGGCTTTCTATTGTTGCAAGTTTGTCAGACGTGCTAGTGACTGCTAGTGCCTTTGTTGACGCATGACTGTGAAAGTTTTGGCACGAGCTGCTGTTTGAAAATGGTTAAGTTACGTAAAGTAACTCGTTACAAGATGCACCACACAGGTCCCAGCCCAAACTCTTACTCTCAGCATCAACATGCGACCCCGACGCTTGTTGGACCCTTGATTAATGAGGTTGTCTTGCTGTCAGAGTCCCAACAGTCTCATTACGATCCATACAAACATGGGGCTGCTAGGGCGTGATTCAGCCGTTTACTTTATCGACCCTTCCGATGCATGGAGCCTCCACGCGGACTTCAGATCCTTCCAATCTTCCTTCGAAACCATGAAACTGAAGATCCGGAAGCCAGGCGCTTTCAAAGCATTGCATGGATCCGGGAGCCAGCCAAACCAGGCGTCTCCTGGGCGCCGCAGGCGCTGTCTTCGTCGTGGAGAAGCGCAGGCCGTTGCAAACCAAGAGTTGTTTCAGGAGCACGACAGGCGCTCCCCGCCAAAGGACACGAAGCCCAAACACTTCAGAGCGGCTGCCCTTGGGGCCCCTTCTTGCCTGAGCTCGCACGCGGCCCCGTCAGGCAGTTCCTTTGCTGCTCTCCGAATGCCAAGGCGGGACGGCGAAGCTTTCAGAATAGAGCGATGGAAAAAGGTAGCATCGTGTTGACATACACTCAACCTGTTCTATGCAAGTATTCGCGCATGGATGGAAAGCCTAAACCCTCTGTGACCAGAGGCGCCACCGTCATTTTCCGCACGTTTGGAGCAGGGCTCTGAGAGCTCGCCGTTTAGGGCTCCAGATTTGAGGGTGAGCTTTCGGGGAAGGGCTTACTTGTTCCTTATATGAGTAGGGACACGACGGAGCAGGGACCGCGAAAAAGCTGGGGAAGAGCGTACAGGCCCTGAAGCGCTGACGGCTGAAGTCTCCCGCTCTCATAGAGGATTATGAACATTATGGAGGGCTGGAGTATCATTAGATCAATTAAGAAGGTTCCTCCACCTCAGTTTCATACGGTCGGAGAGAGCGTGTGTAAATGGCACGCACACAAATAACAGAAACGCAGGTCAATTACTTACCTACATGCATACCTACAGGTATGCTAAGATAATACATAAGCACATATTTAATATACAGACCTACAGACAGGCCTGCAGACATACAAGCATACATAACATAGCATACATACATAAAGCAGCACAACGTCTACAAGCATGCATACAACTATGGAACCTTCAGCCTCAGACTGTGCAGCCCTACTGTCCCTCCCTCAAAGCAGGCGGAAGTGTCGATAACTTCCTCGCGACATTCTGACCGAATTCGGCACCCTAAGCCCACATGCCTCACGCAGACGCGGAATTTGAAGAGCGCTGAGGCGGGA